AGCTAATTTTTTTCTTTAAAACATGGGGCCCCCCCCCCCCGCCACTAGTATCACAGCATGTGGAGGTGGAAGTCTTGGGAGGTAGTCAGCTTCAGATGAAGCTGTGAATTCCGAGCTTCTGTCTTTATGGAGAGAGAGACCAGGAGCTTGCTCCTTCCACTTTCTCATAGAAAGGTACAGCAAGAAGATGGGCATCCATCTAAGCGAGAGCTTTCACCAGGACCAGCCATGCTGGTGTCCTCATTCATATAGGAGACTTGGACTCTGATCTGTGAGGTTGAGGTCCAGGTATCTGTCCTCACTTGCTCCTCTATTGTTTGAGAGGAAGTCCTCCACTGAAACAGAGCTCATCACTTTGGCTTCACTGATTGGCCAAAAAGTCCTGCGGACTCTCCTTTCTCCAACTCCCAGTTACAAATGTATGCCTCTTTCTTGGCTTTTGTGTGACTTCACTGAACCACTCCCCCAGTCTGATTTTCATATCTAAAAAACATCAGTATTTTAAAAATATTACTGACCACTTAGTATTTATGTGTCTTAGGTTTGTGATGTTTTAACAGAATGCACCAACCTCGCTATTACTATATTCTAATATCAATCTGTATAAATCATAGGAAGTCTTAACACTCTTTAATATAGAATACATTTGTTTCCTGAAAATTAGAAAATCATTGCAAAACCACAAATATGCATCCACATGTACTCAATACATCACCGCTTATATTTACCTTAATTTTAACTTCACCAGCCTTTGGAGGATCAACTTTAACCTCCTCAATGGACAGGCGGGCATTTGCTGTCCAGACGATAGCTGCCCGGCATGTGATGACCTATGCACACAAAAGCCAAGTGGTGAGGTGTCTTACTGCTAATGAACTAGTAGTCAAATTCACATCTACTACACTCAACAGCCATCCTGCTTATCTCCTTTTGAGGTGAAAACAGTCTACTTATTCAGTGGAAACAATCACTTGTATCTTTTTAAGTCTGATTATAATAGAAATTTAAATAAAATGTTATAATGCAAGATGAGTTCCCATCGACACCATGTGTGAATGTATATTAAACACGCTCACACACATGCATATTCTATATTCTTTTAGCTCCAGAGAGCTGATTGGAATTCTTAGCTGTTCCTCTGGATTTAAAGTGTCACAAATATCAATATTGGTTTATGAAGCCCAATTCTGCTCTCTGAGTTTAAATTCCTGCATTAAAGTTTCTAACACTGATTACGTACTTAGAGATTAGACTCTGTCATGCAAAGAACCTTGTAAGGAAAGATGAGCAACACCTTGGAAGTACAATGAGAAACGGTGCTCATCTTTCTTTTCTAACCCAAGTTAATCCTAGTGAAATATAATGTAGAACATCTAATTTGTCGTTATAACTTACTTCCTCTATCTTATAACATTTATTCATTATTGTTTGTAAATCCCCATACAGTTCAATCTGCAACTTTCTCTTTATTGATAAATCAATTAATTAAACAATTGGTTTTCCTTTATTAATAGGTGTCTTGAAGATAAGAATTTAAGTGTCACACTTTTTAATTTTTTTGTGATTTTTAAATTTAAATTAGAAACAAGCTTGTTTTACATATCAATCCCAGTTTCCTCTCCCTCCCCTCCTCCCCTGCCCCCACCGACCCCCTATCCCATCTCCTTTCTGCTCCCCAGGGAGGGTGAGTCCTTCCATTATTCTTTAGGTTTGTTTAAGCTGCTTATTTTTTAACAC